TGGATTAAAGTCTCCATCTCGGCTTTTTTAATGAAATCGTATCCGAGTGTACTCATCCTACAACTTTTGAAATACAGAATTCAAACTCAGTCAGCATAGTCTTGAGGTACTGAAGGTCAAAAGTTATCCTACAATTTTTTGTACATCAAAGCATGTTTCAATCTTTGACAATTCGCCATAAAACAGCAAGGTTCAATAACTTCCACATGCAAGGTCACAGCTGCACCAGATTTTCTGTCTCATTACAGACCAGCCCTCATCACATTCACATGGTCAATTGATGATATCACCTTAGTTCCACCCACTTCCAATAGGACATCCTGTTTTTTCTACTGCATGTTTTACTTTTACTCTTTCATTCATTTAGTTTTAAACCAGTGCCAAGTGACATAAAATGATATGATGATGAAGTCTGTCAACGCTGTCTGCTAGCTGAACCGTGTGGGTGTGGCCAAATGGCGAATTTCAACCCCTCACCGTATGTATATGATCGTGTCTAAATCATAATCATATGCATAAATCTGCATCATCAGATTTGGATCAAACTTGTTATGATTAACTTTTCTCAACCTCTAAAGAGCCCAATAGCATTAAATTGTAAATTGACTCCACTGCGCCCCCTAGGTTATTCCATCACCTATATCTCCTCGCTATATCAACCAATCTGAACCAGATTTTTTGTACGTCGTTGGGAATACATCGATACATACCGCCTGGTGGACGGGTGCGGGTGCGAGAGGGTCTACGGTGGCGAGCGGGCGGCGTCGCTGGAGCTCCCACAGTCACCACGAGGCCAGAGTGGCGCTGAGCTTTGAGGGCAGTTGAAGGCTGCTTGCAGCTTTAATTTTTATTATTATTTTTCCGGTTACACAAAGTATCAAACCATATCTAATGCTTTCTCCACTTAGTCAGCCAGAGTGAATGTGCCCAGTCACGGGGAGATCTGAAAAACTTTTCCCTTAAAGTCCAGGCAGCCATACCAGTTTCTGTTTGTTATTAAAAACTCAACAGACATGAAATGGAAGCGCTACTAAAGCCACATAAATTAAATCTCCCGTTTGCCCAGCAGAGATGGCGAGTGCAGCGGGTTTAACTCATGATGTAGGACCGGTCCAAGGTTGTATGAAGCCTTGAGCAGAATTTGATGTAGGGCCCCCTCTTGCTGGTAAAACATCAGCACAACTAACAACATTTCAACATGGATTTAGTAAATTCTGGAAGAGGGGGCCTAGTTTAACTGGTCAACCTTAAAAGCAATCAGTAATAATTGTAGTTTACCGAGATATATTTGTGAAAAAATGGAGCTCAAACTGGCGAGCATTTCACTGGCAATGTCTTCGCATAATATACAATTACCCAGGATCATTTTAACATTTTCTGTTGACTTAACATCTTTTAATACAAAAATACGGTGGGCCGCTAGTGGACCACCCCGGTGCCCTGATCACCAGGCTTAGCAAGTTTTCTGGGGGAAACCCTGCAATTACTTACATCACTCTTAGGTTAATTTATTTTATAGACTTTACTCAGAAGCAGAAGACGTGGAGCCTCCTGAACAACCATCATGCCAAAACCACCGGAGAATTAAACGCTGCAGATCCGACACACATTTATATTAAATAAATAATGTCCAAGAGTCTAACATGCTGTCACAAACACTGATTCTTCTCGATGTAGACTATCACTTTCAGTTACAATCCCAGTTAACCGTCACATTTACTGCAAGAGTAAATGCACAATAGTTTTGAGTAATGTGAGACACACTACTAGCAGAGGTCATCATTCAGCGTTAGTTTGTGCTAGCTGACAAATTATGTTCATGCCGAACAACAAGACATTATTATGGACTCAATAAACATCTTATCTCATCACATCGCCATCATCTGCAGATTTGTGTTGAAGAGTAGGAGCGGCACCTTCCTTCATTCAGAGTCTTTGGAAAATTCTGTTGGTAGTTTTCAAAGGATTCCTAACTAAACTGATCTGTACAAATTACAGTTGTCTTGGGCAACATCACAGGGATATGAATATGCCATGCAGCTCTGTTCTATGTGACTGGGAGAAAATGCATGAATGCATGCTCTGTATTGCAGCCAACAGCAAAACATTTTTCTTTCCCAGCAGTCACTGCAGCAGCAACTTAACATCTTCTTGTAATGAAATGGGTGGAGCTCCACTGGGTTGCCATGTGAGGGGCGGGGCACAGCTTGGGGTTGCTAGATAACAGAATTGTGATGCAACAGTTTAGAGGTTTTTTGAAAAAGGTCGTTTTCCAGACACCAACAGAATATTTACTAATTGCCAAAAAACAACAGGAGTTTTTTTTTTAAATCTTATGGACTGATACTAGCACCAGGAGATCATAAATGAAAGGACAGAAACATGTAAAAAGAGAATTTGCATGTTAAAAAATGTCCTAAATCCTCAGCAAAGTGTTACTGCTTTCACAGCCACACACACTCATTCACTGGCATTTGAAAGCTGGAGTGTGGTGATTATGGGGTAAAATGTACACACTTATAGTTCCTCCTCCATACAAACATACTCAAGAAGGAAAGTGTAAATACCTGAAGCGGCACAAATGGGTCTGTCTCCTCTGGCTGCCAGACCTCAACCACGCTTGTGGACATCTGACTCAGAGCTTTGTGGGAATGAGATGAAATCAAATTAACATCTGATCATTAAGCTATGTGAAAAACAAACAAAGTATCAGATATAAGCAGCAGATTTAGATTAGGAGCTGCAACTTATATTATGTTGCAGGCTAAACTCTCGTAATTCTTTATTTTTTAGATTTATAAAACAATAAGGCAAAAATTAATCAAAATAAAAGAAATTGTAGTTTTACATCCCCCTCACCTTGCTATCAGAATGTAAATTTAACACTATAATTCCATACATAGACTGATATGTGTGTGCGGATATCTATATATAGATAAATGTGCATATATACATACAACACACTGCTATGGTAAAAACTGGAAATTCAGTCCAGCTCATAGTACTAGGAGCATCTCTGATGTGCATGTTGCACCTGTCATAGGTTTCCTGCATTGAAAAACCTTATGACTGAAGTAGCACAATTTGTATTTTTGGGTGCAATCTAAATTTACTAATATACTTGACCACAATAATGGATAAATAAAAATCCAAAAATGTACTCCAGTGTTCAAGAATGTGGATATTAGAGAGCCCTTAACAATAGAGCCAAGTTGGAAGTAAACCTAGGTCTTCTCTTATTTAATCATTTTTGAAAACATTCTAAGACACAACTGTTTTCAAGATGAGAATAATTTACAAAAATTTCCAGACTTAAATAAGAGCAAACAAAATAAATAAGAACAAACACTGAGTGTGAGAAAAGAGTGGCAATTTGAAAAGGACAGTAAGCAGGAAGCCTTGTCATTGACTTTTAAAAAGTAGAATCAAGAGCCTGATCCCTCAGTTTGACTCTTCTCCAGAATAGCTCCCAGTTTTTGGCCCAAAGATCTCTTTTACCTTTGGAACCTGGTTTAAAATGTACAATAAAATGTGCAAATAGGATACCTCATGATGTCCTGAAATCTCTCTGCAGGTTGGAGGAAGACCTACTGATCAAATATTGTCACTCACTCACTGTTGTTGCTACAATCCATCCAAAGATCATTTGCACAAATTGCTATAAAATAACTTGGCATAATGACTATACCTTTCTCACAGAAAAAACACAGGGTCCAGTGAATTTAAATGCGATGCAGTCAGTTAGTGTTTTTAGGTGGACTTTTTTTTAATAATTGGCACAGTGTGCTCTACTGGTCTGCTAAATAGGCTAGAACTTGACAGTTTGTGGTAGGACTTGCTTCTGATTGAGATTAAATAAAAACGAATTGTAAATATGTCCATTTGAATTGCATGTTTCCATTACAAACTAGCGCTATATAAACAAACTGAATTATTAATACGAAGATATCTGAACTTGTAGTGAATGACAAGCAATCACGAGCCAGGAAACGAGTCTTGCTCGGGAAGTTGACAAAGACTGTTTGCTAGCTGCTTGTTTAGCAGCAGGTTAGCTCAGAAGCTAACGAACTTAGAAAAGAAAAAAAAACACTTTATTGCTAATGAAAAAAAACATTAAGTGGTGCAGAATTGCTCTAAAAACCCCATCTAGATTTCATAGTACGAACAGATTACATTGGTAGTAGGGTAGTTAATCTTCTCTACCATTTTCGAGCGTAACGCACTCAGTCAGGTAGCTAACTTCATTTTTTTCTCCTAGAAACGGTTGTTATTGATTCAACCCGAAAACGCTTAAAACAAAGGTGAGAACAAACCTTGCAACTGAGCCCCTCCGTGTTGAACGTATGGTAGAAGTATCTGAAGTATTCCTAAAAATATATTAATCCACGTTTTCCTGTGACAGTGGCTGTCTTGTTGGAAGCCCTGTAGCCCCGCCATGCCGCCTCTGAGCTAACAGCCTGCCGTGTTTCGCTGTGTTGCTCTTTCTGTGTCAGAGCTGCAGCAGCAGCTTCCTCGTCGCTCGCTGAAAACACAGCGTGTAATGGGTGTAGCTCCCATCACGGCTGTTCATGCACGTCTATAGCAGAATAAAACAAACAAGTGTGACAAAAAGGTATCAGGGGTGTCCAAAAGTACTAAAAAGTAGTTCAAGTACTCTGAAGCGATGGAATGTTAATTACAAGGTTATTTCATTTTTTCATAGTTTAATCCCCTTTCATTACGTTCACCACCCAACCTTCGGTTCAGTTCAGTTTGCACAGCACTATATAAAAAGTTATTTTATATAACAGCCGGTTTTAATCTCATGAAAGAAAACTGTCCAGAAAAGATGTAAGAAGCAGAAAGTAATAACTTTTCAGCTTTTCATCCTGAGCAAGCATAGGGTAATAGTGGAGAGAAATATTTTCTCAACAGGAAGAAGCCTCCAGCAGAATCATGGGTGTCCATTTTCTGCCATCCACTTGAGGTTAAGAGGACAGAAACATCATAACTAATTCACACTTCTAATTTTGCACATATGAATTAACATTAGTTTTGTGAATTATGGTAAATGGTAGAAGAAATGACCAAGTTTCAATTATTACATACATACATATACATATATACATATATATATATGTATGTATGTATGTATGTGTGTGTGTGTGTAACATAAACATTTATATTAGATTTCACAAAAAAGGTACTGAAGGATGTGCATTGTTAGTATTATTGACATTTGGAAAATAACACTTTCTCACTGAGCATTAATTTAATAATCACTACAAGGAAACATTTGCTTTTGTCTAGGAGCAAATACTTAGATGTCTCAAGGGAACTGAGGCTGAGGGTACTGCATTTTATAGTTCTCCAGAAGTCAGTGAGTAGAACTCCACGAATGAATCATCGTTGGGACAGGTTGGACAAGTACCTGCATGATGCCACTATTCACACATGTGGGTGTGTCAGCGCCCTAAAAACTGGAGCACATTTTTCAGCTGCATCAGTACTGCCGCAGACAGCAGTACAGAAAATGAACCTGACTTTGAGCCTCACCAGATTTTAAAGACAGTGCATCTGCTACTTCAAAAACAAAGTACACAGAACCTGTTTAAGCTCAAGGAGGGGCTGGAGCCCAACTGTTATCAGGTGGGTCACACCCGGTTTGGACTGCTTGCCCATCACAGAATCAACACAGTCACTCACATAAGGCAATTCAAAGAAAATAGTAATAATCTAATGTGGAGGTTTTTCTAACAGAGAGGAAACCCAATAAGACAGTGGGAATAATAATAAAACAAATGCAGACTTTGCTCAAAAACCAGAGACTGCTGTAACAAATGTAGTACGGTGCCACCCGCACATGGAACATTTCAAATTTAAATCAGCCAACCAAGACGCATCAACTAGGTCAGATGAGTAAACCCAGTACAACCAAATACCCGTTCTGCATTTGTTTAAACAGAAGACAAAGAGAGGAAACACGGCAACAGTCATTTTAGATGCCTTAAGACAAGAGAGTTCCCTTTTTTCTAAATACAGAAAAGAATTGTGCAGCTTCGGTGGAAGAAATGCTTTAATGACAGATTTTGCATAGACATAAAATGGAAAACCTGGTGTAAAAAAACAAACTATTATCCAACATTTAAACAGTGATAACCTCAGCTGGTACAAGGACTATGAAACTCATGCTCATTTTTTTTGTAATGAAATAACTTTAATGCACTTGAAGTAGTAAATATTTACAAAACTATTACTAAAACTTTTCTTCAACATTTTACTCTGGTATTTGTCCTACTGCATTAAATCAAGGCTGCTCAAAGATGACAAAAATGAAAAATCTAAGAGGAAAAGTACACTAGTCCTTGAACCCAAGCCATCTGTAGAAGACATGTAGATGCTCCCATTGAAGATCCAGATGTAGTGAGTGTTGATTCTTTTTCATCATCAGCTTGGAGGTCTCAGTTTTCATCCAAACAGGTGCCCACCATGTCAGTCTGCTTACTTATTTAATCACAGGATGCCCCCCACACCTCAATCATTAATGCTTGACCGTCTTTTCCAGGTGCACCTACGCACCGTCTCTACTGATGAATTCATATGGGTTGGTGAAATCACCAACATCTCTCTTCTAGATGTAAAACTAACTGAATCCTGCTGCATAATCTTTGCTCCAGGGAACACAACAAAAACTTGGAATTAGGTCATCAGGAAAACTGGGTTCAAACAAAATCTCTAATAAACATTTTTCCCTCTGTAGAAGATATCCCAATCAGTCCATGTAGTCAAAGTCCTCAGGGATGCCAAAGGCCTTGTTGATACAGCTGTCATCAAAAGAAAACTTCTTTTTTGTCCAAGACTTGATAGCAAAAACATTGTCTGAAAGAAGAAATAATCCAATATTGATAAAACATAAATTTGACAAAAAGTATATAAAAGTAGTTTACCCAAGCAGTGCTACCCCATTTTAAAGCAAAGTCACTTAGGAAACAGGAGAAAGATGTTTCACTCCTAGAAGCTCCTGTAAAGTCCATAGACACAAAACCATTTGTCATTGTTGATGTTTTGGCTGAAGAGAATGGAGAACTACTTTTAGCTATTAACTTACCTGCAGCACCTAGAAAAGATTGGTTAATTATGGCAACAAACATATTGAAAATGAGGTACTCTGTTTCTGTTTTCCACTGTTGCTTAACAATGTCAGAGAGGCAACAAAGGAGAAACACTATTTAGCTTTTTAAATTTTTTGGGAACAACTGTAAGTAAGCTCTGATGTACTAAAGCTCCAAGCTTCATTTTACTATCAAGATTTGGAAATCTTGATAGTAAGGCTAAAGAATATGGATATTCATGTTTTACTGACTTTAAACATCTTTTGAAAAAGTTGGAAGATGAGATTATCTGAATAGCCATCATATAAAGGACTTAATTATGGCAACTGACACCAATGCATTCACACAACAAAATTGAAAAAGCATTTTCACCATTTACATTTTTTGCAGCGACATTGTCTCTTCATGTCTTCTCTAGTGATTTTTTATTTCCAGTCTATGTAGACACAGATATGAGAAATGCACATCAGCTTTAAAATTTGAGTATTAGCAGAAATAGCCAATGAAGGATGACAGTGGATAGTGAAGGTTTTTTTAAAAGGAGCATCTGTAAAGAGTTTGTCATCAGCAAATGAAAGCTCAAAATGGTCTTAGTTTAGAGAATCAAAAATAAAAGTTGAGTATGGACAGTCAAGCTAGAAGCTAGTCAGAGTGGAGAAAAGGTCAAATTGAACTTCTGTCAACTGAAAACAAAGGACCACATATTTACTAATGCAAAACAAAATACCTCTACAAAGTTTGCAAGTGCAAAAAGTCTGTTTTGCAGAAATTCCACCAATTAATGCTAAACCCCACCAACACTTTTACCTCTAGACAAGACAGAAGTGATGAAATGAGTCACAGGCTTGCGTGGGAGGGTCTACAAATTTGGTTGAAGTTACAAACTGCAAAGAATTAAGATTTCTTCAGCTAATAGCACCTAACGGCAGGACAGACGTTACGTAAAGCAGGAAAATAAAATATGTTCTGTACATTTCAACAGAGAATATGTACAAGTTTGTTGTTGTGAGATGATTTATTTGAATGTCAGTCTTTTTTTCATAATCATAGCTAAACCACAAGTAATGTTTCACATTCACTCAGTGAAGTGGTTTGAAGCATGTTTACTTAAGCAAATGTGGAGATTTGTGTATCTTTATGTCACCAGTCATTACAGATAATATCTAGTCATACAAAAATAAACATATCAAGAACTTACCTGTCCACCTGGAGACAGCTTCTTTTGCTACAACATTCGACTTTCCTGCAAGACACATTTTGTCATCAGCATTTGCACTGCATTGTTTAAAGTTTATGTTGTAACAAACAGTTATAATTTTTGAAGAAGCAAAATAAGCCTGTGAAACAACAAGTAGGGCATTTAAAAGGAGAAGCATGCAGTGGTGGGTTCCTCAACTCAATGTCTTAAAACAAACACCAACAACATTGGTGGATATATCACAACAAAAAACAAAAATAGTCATTGTCTCACTAATACATCATGTGGCCTTGAGCATCAATTACACCTTGACGACTTCTTTTCGTGTTCACAAGCTGACTTATTGTCTCCTGAGACATGGCATCCACCTATTTTTCTTTAACACTGTAGTGGCCTTTATTCAACAGTAGATTGACAAGAAGGATGACAGAGAGCGAAGGGTGAAATATGCAGCAAATTTGGGGGAGGAAATTGAACCAAGGACAGGTGCATTTAGGTGTTTTGGTCTGCATCGCCATGTAGAGGCTGAGTGCCTCTACATGGCGATGCAGCAGATCCCAGAGGTTTTCTATAGGATTTAGGTCTGGAGAGAGTTAAGGCCATTTCGTTCAAGGTGTCTTAGTCTCCAGTAGCCATTCCCTGATGATGTCACCTTGATAAGATGCAAGATTTTTGTCCATGTAAATGAAATTAGGCCTGACTTGTTCATTCTGGGGCAATATGACTGGATTAATGGCATTATTCAGGTTGAATGCACTTGTCAGTGTACCATTCACAAAGGGAATGGCAGTTCTGTATTGATTAGACACACCTGGACACTTTGCACCATGTCCAACACAAGACTCATGAGTCTAGACTCCTGATTGTTCTCAGGAGAATATCCTGAGAAGAGTCAGGATGATTTCTCCTTCTTGTCCATCTACTGTTGAATAAACGCCACTACAGTGTTAAAGAAAAAGAGGTGGATGCCATGTCTCAGGAGACAATAAGTCAGCTTGTGAACACCACAAGAAGTCGTCAAGGTGTACATCTCGTCTTGTCTAACATGCTGAGGACTGCTTAAATATCACTTCAAACTGAACCAAGAAAGTTATATCAAAATCAGAAGAATATTATTGTCATTGTCAGAAAGACAACAAAACTGCACTTTCAGTATAACCATCCATTACACAACAACACGAGGGAGGGGGGGAGGGGGGATGAGAGGGGGGATAGTTGGCTGAGGCCTCGCAGCCTGACAGGCGCCGCCTTGCAGAGGAAATAGGAAAAATAAGAAAAACATCAGGTAAGGAGAGGGAAAGAAAACAGCACGTCTCACACTCTGCTCTTTGCAGGGCAGAGTTTGAGATTAAGAAAAAACCTTGGCACCTAGGCACATATAAACACATATAGACAAAACAAGCCGGGTACGAGGAGGAGGTGTGACGTGCATATGGGTCTCATGTGAGTTATGTGTGTGTCAGACCATGAACCCTAACTTAAGCACGCGGTTGTCTGTGAGTATGATGTTGGAGTTCACCACCAGTTTATCAGTTCAGGGCCCACAGATGTTCTCTGGGAGGGGGGGGGATGGCAGCAGAAGAGAACCTTCTTTAGACATAACAACCAGGGGAGGATAGCTGGCCAGCCAAGGCCAGCCCTGGGAGCCAGATTCCGATAGCAAAAATTTGTTTAGCTGACATCAGTTTACTGCCTTCCTTGAAAGTCTCGCTGGTGCTTCTCAATGGCAAATCCAAACAGCCAAATTTAGGGTCTCCCGCCTGATCCGAGCGAACAACATTCTCCAAGGTCACAACATATCCATTCTGAGTCTGAGATCCGCTGCCCGGCCACGGTCCTGTACCAGGATCTCACCCAGTCTACGGCTCAGCTCCTGTATCATCTCAGTCTGACTGAGCGTTGATCGCTCTGCAGATCCCATCAACCATACCCGGCAGCCTTGAAGTGGCCAAAACGGCCGCCGGCATCTTCCGAAATTTCCGATAAGCCAGGTAGCTGCCAATTCCAATAAGCAGAAAACCTGTTATCATAAATCCAATCATGTATACATCTTCAACATCCTTGACTGACAGCATCGTCAGACACACTGTCTTCCACTTCTATCCAGAATCCATTGTGTATCCAGCGAAGAATGTCCCATCGGGACACAAGGGTTCCCCTTTATCCGGTGGTATTCCAGTGGAAAAAATGTTATCAATTGCGTTGAGAGACCAGCTGACCAGATCCATAATTTGCAACTTCAGAAGCTATTCAAAAGAAGACTCTAAAAACACAGGACAGAGACGCTGAGCAGGGAAGATAGGGAGGGCAGGGAGACAGAGAAAGTGTGTCGTCCTCCTTCGAAAGACAGAGCAGAAAAGGTGTCTTAGTCTCCAGTAGCCATTCCCTGATGATAGGTTGATTTGTGGGTCAAACACCTCTTGTGAATTTTGTTGTTAAAGTTCTTGCTAGAGAACAAAAATTGTGGAAAAAGTACTAAAACATTCAACAGTTGGACATATGAATTCACAAAATTAGAGAATATCACATTAAAGTCACATGAAAAGGTTTGAGGGCAATTTAGGGTAAATCTGAAAACAGAATATCCCTAACCTTTTGTGAGTAGAGTATTTTGAAGCTGTGCTTTATTTTCTGTTTCACAAATCATACAACAGTTGGCTTCCAACTTGTCAGTGTAATGAAGCCTATTTTGCTGCTCTGTAAATGTCTGTACAAACTTAGATCCGCTCTGTTGTAAAATTTTTGACAGACTGAATGGTGTAGGATGCCTTAATTTTGACTGAAATAATGAAACTGCCAACACTTTGACACCCATCATAGAACCCCTAAACTACTGGTTTAGTTTGAAGACATTATCCTAGAAAAGCAGTAAACATGGCCCTTTTTTTGATTAATGAATGAGTGTGAATCATGTCTGTGGGTTTGGTCAATAATTCAAAAAATGAAAAATTAGATGGACAAAAGCTTCAATTGTGACATGACTAATAAAAGATAATCATCTACATGCAACTTTCCAGATATTCAACTTTTTCCCCCTTTTTAAGACAATTAGATCTGGAAATCCAAATATTTATTTTCTTCAACTTCTGTCCAGAATTGGAAAATGGTAGAAATAAAAAATCATACCTTCCATGACTGAGTATGAGCCATGTGCAGACATAACTATATTGATGTGACTAATGAGCTTTCAAATTTTTTTTCTAATCCTACTCTTACCTGACAATAGTTTATTGGCAACTATGGGGTGAGAGTTGATAAGTTCTGATGAATCCTAAACTTTGTCATTCTTGTGCACACACCTACAAATTTTACAGGTTTTGCAAATACTAAAAGCACCACTCCTTCCTACAAAGACAAAACTATCACCTGTTACAATGGTTCGTTGGTGTATAGGTGTAAATTTGAGAAACTCTGTATCACAGTTTCTCAAATATACAGATGGAATGAATCAACAGCTTCGCCTTGGAACGTCTCTCCTTAGCGCTCACGTAGCAGACCTCACTTCATCTAAGCCACCTGCCTCTGACTTCACAGAGGATCCATCACTCTACGCTTCTGAGGTCTGAGCCGGGGTCCAGATATTATCTTTACACCCGTCTTCCTCCAGAATGTGTCTGGCCCCCCGGCACTGCAAAACAGGACATTACCTGTCCGGATCACTATAAGAAAAGTTACAAAAAACAGAAATACAAAAAAGCAGCGGCCTTAATTCAAATCTCAGACTGATCCCCTGCCTAAAGGAACCTCAGACTGAAGAACTTTTGTTCTCCACCTCACTTAAACTAGCTTTTTTAAATACCAGATCTCTCTGTACTAAAGCTCCATTAATTAAAGATTTCATCACTGAGGTATTGAGGTTATGTTTCTGACAGAAACATGGTTGAATGACAATAATGAACCAATCATACTAATTGAATCAGTGCCTCCTATCTACAATTAAGTGAGAATAGAAAACATAAAACAGGAGGAGGCATGGCTTCAATACTTAAGAATACCATAAATTGTAGTAAAATTTCTTTGGGTCATTTCACCTCTTTTTAGTATCTGGGAATTTAGGTTAAAGGCCACGAATGAACTTTGATACTAACTTTATACAAAACTCCAACATATGTGGAAAATTTCTTTACTGACGTGAATGAGCTTCTATTTCTCATATGCATTGACTATGATTGTTGAATAATTGTCGGTGATTTCAACATTTATGTTGACAACCTGAAGACAGAGGGGCAAAAAAGCTCTGTAATATATTAGAGAGTTTTGGTTTAACACAACATATCAAACAAGCAACACACACTCATGGACACACATCGGACCTGGTTATCAGTAAGGGTGTGAATATTTCCAATGTCTCTGTAACTGATGTCGCCTGTTGGATCACTTTGCTGTTATCTTTGAAAGTTCTTTATCTGTTAACCCACTTGGACAAACAGTTACTGTCACAAAATGTTCTTTCACAGAAAACACAGCAGAAACATTTAATCAAATCTACTCTTCTTCCTCGCCCTTAAGCTATAATGACATAGATAAGTTGGTAGATGATTTTCAGTCTAAAATTTCAGATATCACTGATTATATTGACCCCATTAAAGTGAAGGTTGTGTCTGGTAAGATGAAATATACATGGAGAAATGCACAAACGGTTCAATCTGCAAGACAACTTTGCCGTAGGGCCAAACGAAAATAGTGTAAAACTCAACTTCACGTTCATTATGAAATCTATAAAGAAAGACTATGTAACTATCACTCGACACTAAAACATGCAAGGGAGGCTTTCTTTGCAGATGTCATAAACAAAAACACCAACAACGCTCGAGCTTTATTTGCTACTGTTGACAGGCTCACAAACCCTCCTATGACGTTACCACCTGAACTTCAATCTAACGCCTGCAACAAGTTCTCCAGTTTCTTTTCAGAGAAAATTCAAAAGATCAGAGGATTAATCTGCACATCCAGTCCAAAGCCAGTACCAATGCTGGGCCCAAACAAAACAAATGCAGGAAAAATGACCCAATTTCAACTACTTCATGCTCAACTGGTTTGAATCTTACATAAAGAACAGGGATGTCTTTGTTTCAATCGGAAACTTCTCATCAGAGAGGTCAAAGGTCACATGTGGGGTACCCCAAGGTTCAATCCTAAGACCCCTTCTTTTCAATATTTATATGCTCCCACTGGCTCAGGTTATAACAGGAAATAAGATTAGCTACCATAACTATGCGGATGATACACAGCTCTACATCACGATGTCACCAGGTGACTCTGAACCCATCCAATCACTGAATAGATGCTTAGAACAGATAAATGTGTGGATGTGCCAAAACTTTCTCCAGCTGAACAGAAGTAAAACTGAAGTTATTATCTTTGGACCTAAAGAGGAGCGAACTAGAGTCAATGCACAGATTCAGTTATTACAACTGAAAACCAGCAATCAGGCCCGAAACCTGGGAGTAGTGATGGACTCTGACCTGAACATTCAGAGCCACATAAAGACAGTCACAAAGTCGGCCTTCTATCACCTGAAGAACATCTCCAGGATTAGAGGACTGATGTCTCAGAACGATCTAGAGAAACTCATCCATGCATTTATCTTTAGCCACATTGATTACTGCAACAGCGTCTTCACAGGTCTGACTAATAAATCAATCAAACAGCTGCAGCTGATCCAGAACACTGATGCTCGCGTTCTCACTAAAACCAGGAAGATAGAGCACATAACACCAGTTCTAAAGTCATTCACTGGCTCCCTGTAGCTCAAAGAATAGACTTTAAAATACTGTTGTTAGTTTATAAATTAGTGATATATAGCACCACAATACATTAAAGATCTGCTGTTGTTGTATCAACCTTCCAGACCTCTCAGGTCTTCTGGTTCTGCTCTGCAACCCCAGAACCAGAACCAAACATAGAGAAGCAGTGATCATAAAGCTTTTTGTGTGTGCGTGCGTATGTGCACGCATGCGTGCGTGCGTGCATGCGTGTGTGCGTGCATGCGTGTGTGTGTTTGTGTGTTTAAGGGAGAAGGCGAGGGAAATCTGATTCCATAAGGCATGTGAAAACAGATGAGCAAACACAAACCACATATCTCAAACTGTTTATGTTGAATATAGTACAGTTTACAATAGGAATTCTGCAACACTGTAGGGCTTGGCAATCAACTTTATCGAGTATATGAATTTTTTATTCAAGTTATCTATTAATTTTCCACCAATGCATTTTTTGGGTTTCCATAGTTCAAAGTGGAAACCCGAAAGATGGTGGGCCATCTTGTTTGACAACCATGTTTTAGAGCTTCTGATTATTTGGATTTTGAAATCAAAGCAACTCACAGAAAGAATGATTGAAATAAAAGTCAGGTTTTGAAAATATTTCCCATTTCTAATTTCTTTTTAAGAAAAGAAAGTCAGGAGTGGAGGGATGGAAGTCAAATGCAATTGAAAATAAAAATGGGTATAAAAAAATATGATTTTATTTTCAAATTGGTGCAGTAACAAAGGAAGAGCTGAGACCTTAGCTCCCTGTTATGCTTTGGTGGGACTTTCGGGGAGCTGTGAAAATGTTTTGTTGTCAATGCTAATGAAATAAGCTTAGT